AACCCAACCCCATTTCAAAGATGGAAGGACTGAGACCCAGAAAGGGGCAAGAACCCCATCAAGTTTGGGAAAAGGTACGAGGCTACTTGGGACTCCTCCCAAACAGAGCCTGCCCCTCCGGCCCCAGAGCCCAGCTGGCTGTGCGAACACCAGCAGCCCCGTCCCACTCACCATGCTCACTGGGCTTGAAGGAGCCACTCCACAGCAGCTGCTTCCCAGCCCAAAGGTCCAGCTTATAGGTGTCCGAAAAGACCACATCTTCCATCAGCATGTCACACACACACACGGCGCTTGCCCTGTTCTCGGTGACACACGTTTGGTTTCTGCAGACACAGTGCTGCGTTAGGCGGGTCTTATGACCCACAGGTGTCCCCCAGACATGCCTCAAGGAACCACATACTCTTCCAGTTTCCTGGTCGTCCTGCCTCCAGGACCACATCTGGAGACTTGGGAGCTGGCCGCCCAGGGTATGGTGGGGACAAAGACTCGGACTGCCTTCCCTGCCGGCCACAGGCCCTCACCACACCCACCATAGACTCTATATGCCCCTTGCCGCAGCCTTGGTCCCAGGACCTGGCTCATTCTTAAAAGCCAGGGAAAGGGAAGAACCCGTGGCATTAAAGAATTTGTAACAATATATGCATATGTCCCAGCACACCTCTGGGGGCACAGCTTATCCCGCTGTCCAGAAGCCTGTGGCATGCCCTGGAATGCTGCCTATTGGCACACTCCCTGTGTACCACGGAATAATCCTAATGTGCCACCAAAAACGGTCAACCCCGCATCTCAAGAGCTAGGCCAGGGGAGAGCCCTTTTCTGTAAAGGGCTAGAAAGTAAATATTTGGGGCTTTGAGGGTTATGCTGTTTCTGTCCCAAATACACAACTCTGCTGACATAGCACAAAAGCAGCTAGCCAAATACAATATGTAAGTGGATGGGCATGGCTTTATGCCAATAAAACTTTATTTACAGGAACAGGCGGTGGGCCCAACGTGGCTCATGGGCCACAGTTTGTGGTCTCTCGTCTAGGTGCATGTATCACATACAGAAGCACAGCCCATCCTCCTTAGTATATGGTGGAATATCACCTCTGTCAGTGTACCCTACATTCCCGTGTGCTGTATATTCCAGCGAGGCCTAGAACTGCGTACCTTGTATACCTGATCGTGTCCTGGGCACCACCTGTATGTAACAGTACCCCATGTACATGGATTATTCCAGTGAACTACAGGGATCAATGTATCCTACGTTCCATGGTAAATTCTACTGCTAACACTGTACCCCCAGACAACGGTCTAGCCTGTTGAGTCTCAAAGTGTGGACCATGGGTCCACTAGGTCAAATTATTTTCATAATCATACTAAGACGTTGTTTGCCATTTCACTCTCTCTCTCACAAGCATAGAGTATGGTATTCCAGAGGTTACATGATGTGTGACGATGTCATTGCTGTGATGGCCTGTTGAATGTGGGCACATGTGCTGTTAAGCTTCAAATTTTCTGTTTTAATTCCTAATATGGTAAATATAGATAGCTACAAGCTACTTAGACAAAAGCTTTTTTAATTTTTAAGCATGATAAAGAGTCCTGAGACTAAAATGTTTAAGAACGACCAGTCTAGTACAATACTCTACCCACACCCACATACCACGGTGCACTTGGAGCATCGTGACACACTCACTGTGTATTACTCACACTCCTCCTGTAACCCCACGCCCAGGAAGCCACAGTGGACCACATTAAGCTCCATACACTCTGGGGCACCACCCAGACCAGGCAAACTCGCAGGGCCCACCTCGCCAGCCTCCACGCTCTCACACAGGCTTACTCAGAGTGCAGATCATCGGACAGTTGATAGGACAGACGGAGCTCGGCGCTGCAGTTGGTGGGGCCGTCCATCTTCCACTCACAGGTGGAGGTGCTGATGTAGTCGGAGGAGCAGGTGGGCTGATGCAGGACCTTAACGCTCCCTGGAGAGACATAGAAATGCTCTGAGCGGCCAAAGCCCAACAAGCAAGAGGGACAGGCATCCCCAGGAAAAGTGGGAAACCAGCCCGAACAGGACCAAGGGGCCCATCACAAAACAAGGAAACCACAGTCCCGGGCACAGCCGTGTGCCCGTCTTCACAGAGTTGGGCCAGAACCAGGGCCCCTGCAGCTTCCCAAGTCGCACTGGGGTGATTGCTGAAGCTGGGGTGCAGCGTCCATCAGAGGGGATACGTCAAGTGCACATTTATGCAGTTCAACTACTTGCCCTTGGCCGAATCAAAGGGAAAATATGTGACAGGCTGAGGAGTGCTACCCTGCCAACGGGCAACTGCCCTACAGCAGTGTGAGTGGGGAGGCGCTGCTATCCTTGGGCCTGCTCCCACCCCCATCTATTCTCTGCACTCACAGGCTGACCCCCAAGGTCTTGTCACACAGACGCCCTCGTTCTCTGGCTTCCCGTTGGGTTCGGCCAATATAGAAGGGCGGGATGAGAAGTTGGGGTACTTCTTGCAGCCAGGCAGTGGCGGAGCTGGCATTTAAACTTGGCAGGATATTTATTGGATTTGCCAAATCATTTGAGCTCCATCGCCCTAGCTCCAGACCACCCAGCACCTGACCAGCAGGCACCATCTTACTCCGGTGCCCAGCACCAGCCCCATCACCACCACCATCAATTTGCATTTGTTCACTGGATAAAGGACTTACTACATTAAGGAGAGTCTTAGATATCTAATAAATACCTCAAACTTATCTCCAAAACCAACTCCTGATTCCTCTGCATCTCAGAAATGACAACCATTGTCCTTACTGGCAGCTCAGGTTAGAAACCTGAGTCATCCTTGACACCTCTCTCTCTCACCTCAATTACGATCTGTCTTCAAATCTACCTCCCCGACAGATCCAGAGGCCAATCCCTCTCATCTCCTCTGCTAGGCCAAGCCACTCAGCTTACTGAGCATCTTCTCTCTGGCTTCCCAGCTTCCGACTCTGTACTTACAACAGAAGGAGTCCTTAATGTAACAGGTCATGTCTCTTCTTTGCTCAAACCCTGCAAGTTCCGTTTTCACTTGGTCACCCTGTCACCCCACTGACTTCATCTTTTCGCTCCTCCTGCTCACAGCCTGCACCACACCAGCCTCCTTCAGTTCCTCCAATGTTCCAGGCAGGCTCTCGGCCCGGGCCTCCCGAGATCCTCCACCCCCAGATATCTGCATGGCTCCCACTTCCTCCAAGTCTTTGCTCGGTCATCTGCCACTCGATGAGGACTTCCTTGAGCACATATTTTAAATTGCAATCCTCTACTCCATCCAGCTTTCCCAATCCTCCTATTCTGTTCTGTATTCTCTTTCTCCATCACCTTCTTTAGAATTTACTTATAATTAGGACCATTTGTCATTGGCTGTCTCATCACATTACAATGTAGTCTCTTTAAGGCCATGGATCTTTGTTTTATTCACTGATTATTCAGAGGGCTGGCAAGTAAATAGTCAATAAATGTTTGCTGAATGAATGAATGAGAAGTGGTGACTTACCAGAGCCTGCCACCCACACCAGGATCAGGCAGCTCACAGGGAACATGAGCCCACAGCCAAGCCACCCCATTGGGAGATCCTAAGGCACCTGCTGAGAGAAAGTTAGCCAGGTTAGTGCCGACTTGTGGTCCCCATCATCCCCATCATCCTGAGTGTAGTCTTCGGAACCCACCTTACTCTAAATGCAACTGTCGCCCAACCCCAGCCATCTGTGTTTCTGCCAGCAATGAGCCGAGCCCTCCGTGTTCATTAGAGCTCTGTTTATAAGCACAAAACCCAATCCAGATGCTCAAAGCCCAGAGTGAGAGCCACAAGAACCTGAACAAAGAGAGGCTTCTTGAAAAAAAAATCCCATGGCCTGCTAAGTTTGAGCAACCCCTCAGACTTTTGGAAGTTCATAATGCACACTGCATGTAAAGGCTCTATTAAGTCCTGCAGTAAGGAAATTTATTTTTCTTCATTTAACTCAACGCTTACCAAATTTATTTCCATACCCAACCTTCGTTCTTATATGTGTGCATGTCAAAACCCTTGAAAGATTTACAATTCCTTGAAATATAGTTTGGAAATGCTAGTCTAACTGTGCAGCCTTACAGAGCTGGTTAAATACATGCGGGCATATCCAAGCAATGATGCTGGTGAGTGTATCAGACTGACTACAGTAATGGCCCCAGTTCTTCACTCCTGTGTCCACGTAACCCTGCAGCACCCCCACCACCACCATTCTGGGCAGGGCATTTTCTCCAACTTTGGACTCTGGGCTCGCCATGTGACTACCATGGCCAACAGACTATTAGCCAAAGTGAGGCATGCAGAGGCCTGCTTTGGCATGACCGCTGCCTTGAAAACATGCTTGGGCTAGCCTTTTAGAGGACAGTGACATGCAGAATCCTGCATTAAGCAACAAGCAGCTGCACCCCTGTCATGCAAGTGAACTCACACAACATCAGCAGGGCTCATAGCTGACCTCAGATGCACAAGTGAGCCCCCACGATCAGCCAAGCCTAGGTGACTGAGCCCCACAAATTCAAACTCAAGCTAAGTAAGTGTCTCTAGTGCAGCCCCGAGGTTCTGTGTGCTTGTTACGCAGCATTATTGTTTCCCTCAGTTATTATCCCTCTGCCCTGACTTCTAACCCCACAGATCAGAGGTCCCCAACCTTTTTGGCACTGGGGACTGGTGCTCCTATGAGAATCTAATGCCTGATGATCTGAGGTGGAGCTGAGGCGGTGATGCTAGCGCTGGGGAGCGGCTGCAAATACAGAAGAAGCTTGGCATGCTCACTCCCTTCCCCCAACTGCTCACCTCCTGTGGTACGGCCCGGTTCCTAACAGGCCACAGACTGGACCAGTACTGGTCCACAGCCTGTGGGTTGGGGATCCCTGCCATAGATGACGCTGACTATTTTAGAGTTTATATCAACGGAATCGTGCACTGCCCCTATTGTGTTAACGACATCCCACAAGACATGACTGGGGAATAAAAGTAAGAAGGTACAGACGCCCAAAAAGAAAATAATTCAAATCCCCCCAAAATCATAAGGCCCAAAAAGCAATAACCTATTTACATATTAGTATTTATTCTTTCAGATTCATTGCTATAAATATAGGGAGATAAATATGAATTTTATTTACCAAAACAGCAGCACCCTCTACACACTCAAATTTAAGTTTTAAAATTACTGTATCATTAACATCATTCCATGTCACTAAATTTAGATTCAAAACATCAGATCAGTAGTGTTCTGCTGTGTATCCACCATTGCATTTTAGCCTTATTTATTATTTATGTTACTTTGTTACTGTACACAGTGTGGTTTCTGTGCCCATCCCTGGAGAACCACCACTACACATTTCTCTGATTATTTAAGTTTAAACACCTACTGTCATTTACCCGTTATGAACCTTGAGCAAGCTGCTTAACCCCTCCGTGCCTCAGTTTCCATTCCACCGGGGGGGAATGTTGTGAGGAGTAAATGAGCTAACACATGTGAAGTCCTCAAATGGTGACCTGGACACAGAAACAGCTCACATGATGTCACCATTTATTATGATTAAGGCCAAAGCTCAGAAGAATCCCATCAAGTCACGGAGTGTGCACTTCCCCCAACACTCCTGGCCCATGATGCCAAATGCCCCCTACAAAGCAATGTCCCAGCAATGCTGACAGCGCTCACCCCGCCCCGTTTCTTCGGTCTTTATCTTGGGGTCACACTTAACAGAGCAGCTGCCAGGCCTCCTTCTGCTACTTAGTAGCTATGTGCTGTTCGTGCTTTACCTGAAACGTGGATATGATACCAAGATCCACCTCAGGGGTGTACTGTAGAGAGGATGCGAGGCATGGGCCTCAAGCACTTTGCATGGTTTCTGGAGAAAGGTAAGGGCTTAAGGCCACTGATCAGAAGCCCCAAGCCCTTGCTGGAAGCTCCAGAGACCTCGCCCCACTTGAAGGCTCTACCCAGCTGGGCCACCGCCCTCTCCCCCGGCCCCAGCACCTGTGCAAAGCACTCTTGCCACCGGCACGCCTTCACTTCCCGCTGCTCTTCAAACACTCCCAACTCATTTCCACTTCCACACCTCTCCTCTTACTGTCCCTTCATCCATACTCCGTCTCTCTCAGGCTCACATGTGTGTGCGCATGCGCACACTCTCCCTCTCTCATTCATTTTAATTTTTATTCACAATGAATAAATTACCCCTTAATATCCCGTGTATATTTCAGGAAAACAAGAACATTCCCTTACGTAACCACAATACAACCATCAAAATCAGGAAATGAACACCGATGCGTTACTGCCATCTAATCCTCTGACCCTATTTCCATTTTGCTAATTGCCTCAATAATGCCCTATGTCAGTCCAGGATCCAGCAGTGCATCTGATTATTAGGGCCCAGGTCTTGGCTTCCAAACAGTGTTCTGCATTGAAATGAACCAGAGCTCCTTAGCAAAATGGCTGACTCCAGGAGCAAGGCAAGTACAACAAGCCTGGAACTCTTGTTGTGCCAGAAAGTAAGGACGTGCTCCAAGAATGCTGGGGACACATCAAAAAGACACAGGAGCTAGCTTGAGCAGTTTCCCACTGGCCGAAATGGGCACAACTGAAGCATCACAATAAACTTTAATTAACCAACTGTAACCCTTGGAGTTAAAATAGGGGTGCATGGGCCCGTAGTAATATAGATCATAAGTGAGGGAGAAGAGACAGCTCTATTTCACCATGGCAGCCTCTAAGTATCTCCTCATGAACCCCATATTATTTATTAACTTTAAAATTTTCCATACTATATATACAAAATACATAAAATTGTATATAACTTTCTATACAGAAACCTGGCAGGCACCACCTTAACCGAGTGGTCAACATTAACATCACCAGGAATGGGATGGCTCAAGGTCATGAGCTTTCTGAAACAATTCCCTGACAGGAACACAACATCGGTTCTCCAGAGTTCCAAATACACACATCCCAGGGGAGCACAGACAGACCTAAACTGAGGGGCAGACTATAAAGAGCCATGGGGACAAAAGGCAGGGAGTATGTGGGAGACCTGTCATCTTTCAAGTGTCTGCCATTCCGGTCGTCTTGTTCACTGCCGAGTTCTAGGACTTACATGGATGCCTGGTACATAGCTCGTGCTCGGTAAATATCTGTCGAATAAAGTCATTTTGGATATGATGTGGAGCCCCTAACGGCTAGGCACAGGGCTGGAAATCTCTCCCGAGGGGTAGACTGGGCATCCGCTTAAAGCCCCAACTGGCCCTCTTGGCAGCCACACTGAAGACCAATGAAGGAGGGGTGGGAGTATGGTGGTGAGTCTGTGACACCAGTTTCCTCTGCAAAGTCCTAGTAACTTTCCCTCTCACAAGTTCACAGATGTCCACAGCATCCTATGGCAGAGATGGCAAAAGTGTCATTTTAGCCCCAATTTTCCATAAACAGAAACAGAGAGGCCAAGATGCCTGTCCAAAGTCACATAGCAGGAGGGCTATCATGGCAAAGGGGCCTGGGGAGTAGAGCAAGCCCATCGGGGTGGGCTGAAACACTGAGGGCAGTCGGGGGGGGTCATCTTTGATCTGATTCAGAGGGCACATCTGGATGTGGGCATGTGCGCATGCTCATACACACGCACACCAGCTGGCTTCACAAGGACAAGCAGGTGCTGCATTTCAGGGGAAACCACGCTAACAGATGCAATGAGAGAAAAGGAACAGAGGACAAAGTAAAAGAATTAAAAATAATAATTATCAAGTGATCCGGGTCAAGCATGTGGCAAGAAGAAACAATTTCAAGTTCGCTTTCTCAGTCACGAATTCCTGACCTGCTGGAGTTGGGAGGAGTCTCAGGGGTCATCTGCCTAGCTCAACTGCCAACTTGGGCCAGGATGCCCTGTAAATATCCCATCTCTGACATGTCGAAGTCCAGTGTCTGTTGCACGCTTCCACGGACGGGGCGCTCATCCCCAGGTCATGGCTGAGCAGAGCCAGACTACCGGAAACAACTTCCTTGTGTCAAGTTAAGGATTTGGGTAAACCAAATCCTGTTTGTCAGGTACTCACATTGTGCATGACACTTTACCAAGTGCAGCAGAAGCATCACCTTATCGAATCTACCCAAGAACCCTGCAAGATGGGCTGTTATTCCCATCTTTCCGCCTGTGGGAACTGAGGCCAGAGAGATCAAATAACTTGCCCATCAAGTCCCACAGCTGGCGAGAGGACAGAGCTAGAGCCAGAACCCAAGTCTGTTGGCTTCTGAGCCCAGGATGCATTCCAATACATCAATGCCTTCAACTTCTCCCAGAACCACAGGCTGAACCCAGCAAGATGAATGAAATGATCCAGGAAGAGCCGCCCTCCCTGCTTGTCAGTTCTGAACATCAATTGCACAAGCATAGGACCAGAAAGCCTGCCTGAGCAGCGGAAAGGGCCAAGGGCTTTTATTGTCTACAAACTCCTCATGAGCCAGAGGTGAAACAGCAGCTTAAACAAACAAAAAAGCCAACTAAAGCCATATTAACAGAGAGATGAGATCCAGGACAAGGGAGGTGACAATGTCCAACCATATCTGTGTATCCCTTTGGAAGAACTACTGATTTGAAACTTGTTGAGACGATGACAACTGACAAAGAAAGGACCCAAAACCCCAGAGGCCCTAGACGGTCTGTGCCTAAAGGTTCTGCCTTCCTACATCCTGCAGACTCATCATTCACTTAACAAACATATAATATTTACCACATACCACGTTGCCTTCTACATATTTTACTCATATTAATTCACTTGATACTCGAAACAGCCCTATGAAACAGGTACTATAATTTCTCCTCATTTTCAGATGAGGAAACCAAGGCACAGAAAAGTTAAGTGACTTGCCTGAGGCTGCACAGCTGTGACAGTCCTGGGATTTGAACAGGGGCAGTCAGGCTCCCCAGCCTCAGCTCTTAACCTTTCTGTACATCACTGACCCATCTGAACAGCTGATGTAAACACCAAACCCTCGTTCTAGAAAAGTATACACATTTAATTCCACATTCTGTTTTAGGGATTCACAGATCCCCTGGAGCCCAAGTAAGGAATCCAAGTCAAAGGGCCCCTCCTCCAGGTGATCAGCAGTTTTTTGAGGGTTTTTAAGATTTTTCAAAAACCTACTCTGGGGCTGAGAGAATAATGAAATGGGGGACTGCGGGGACAGTCAGCAGTTGTTGCAGAAATGAGTCAGCCTGTCATTTTTAAATCGGAAACTAGGCCATGAACTGCTTGCCTACTTATGCCCTTCACTGGCCTCTGGCTCCTGAAGGGTGTCTTCTTCACCCAGGAGCCACAGACCCCCAGTGCCCACCCAAGAGGAGCATCTCTGACTCACAATACAATCCAGCCCCAGATGTGAAAGCAGCCAATCCAAAAGGGTGTGCACTGTGTGACTCCATTTATGTAACGTTCTTAAAATAACAAAATATGGAAAGGGAGAACAGATTAGTGGTTGTCAGGGAGGTTAAGGGGGGCGGGCAGGAAGAGAGGTCGGTGCGGTCATAAAAGGCAACGCAGGGATGGATCCTTATGACAGAACTGTTCTTAACTTTGACCATGGTGGTAGAGACACAAAGCTGTGCATGTGATAAAATTGTACAGAACTAAAGACATGCACACATACGAATGAGTACAAGTAAAGCAGGGGCAATCTGAGCAAGATCAGCGTGGATTATATCGACATCAGTATCCTGGCTGGGATATTGTCCTACAGTTTGGTAAGAAGTTACTAGTGGAGGAAACTTAGAGTATAGGAGATCCTCTCTCCCCCTGCAACAAGTCTTTGCCTCTGAGCACACCGACACACTCCCAGCCTTTTCCCCCCTCACAGTCTTTAAACCCCATCACCTAAGGAGGGCTCCCTCTATTACTTATCACAGCGCCCTGTTTACTTCTGCCATATATTTATCGCCATCTCTAATCATATCACTGAGGTTACATGTGAATGTTTATTTTATTATAGGATGTAGACGGCAAAGAGAGAAAAACTTGACTGCAAAAATTTTCAACTTCCCTAAGTCAAAACAGGCCATAAAAAAAGAAAAAAACAAAAAACAAAAAAACCAGAAAGCAAGCAAAAGACCAGAAAATGGTAGCAATCTACATGACAGAGGGTTAATATAGAAAGAGGTCTCACAAATCAATAAGACAAACATGCCTTTAAGAAAAACAGGCAAAGGAGTAATAGCCCCTCTCGTTCTGCTGCTTGTTCATGAAGTTGAGAAAATAAAGATAACCTGTAACATTTAAATGATATTTTTAGCTATATATGCATTGTTTATCTACCCCCATGAGAATGCGAGCCCCATAAGGGCAGAGTTTTATGCTTGCCATGGCCACTGTTTTGTCCCCAGTGCCTAAAGAGTGTCCGCCATTTACACAGTATATGCTCAATAAACATCTATTAAATGAATGATTGGCTAAAATTCGACAATAACAAATTCAATCGTCTTTTTAAACAGGGAGCATGTACCAAGCTTCTGCCC